GTGAGTTGATTCAGAGAGGGCGTGGGTGTTGTTGTTGGTGTGTGTGTGTGTGTGTGTGGTTTTTTTTTCTCTCTCTCTCTCTTTCTCTTTCTCTTTCCCTCTGTCTGTCTCTCTCACTCTCTCTCTCTCTCTCCCCCTCACTCCTTCCCTCTCTCCCTCCCTCCCTCCCCTTCCTTCTCCCTCTCTCCCTCTATCCCTCCTCTCTCTCTCTCTCTCTCTCTCTCTCTCTCTCTCTCTCTCTCTCTCTCTCTCTCTCTCTCTCTCTCTCTCTCTCTTTCTCTCTTTCTCCCACTCTCCCTCTCCCTCTCCGTCTCCCCCTCCCTCTCCCTCGCTCCCTCTCCCTCTCCCCCTCTCTTCCGTTCCATCTCTCTCTCTCCATCTCCCTCTCCCTCTCCCTCTCCCTCTCCCTTTCCCTCTTTCTCTCTCCCTTCCTCTCCCTCCCTTCCTCTCCCTCTCTCCCCTCTCTTCCGTTCCATCTCTCTCTCTCTCTCTCTCTCTCTCTCTCTCTCTCTCTCCTCTCTCTCTCTCTCTCTCTCTCTCTCTCTCTCTCTCTCTCTCTCTCTCTCTCTCTCCCTCTCTCTGTCGAACACGGAAGCATCAATGCTTCCTTTTCATCTTGGACGATACTTTTTGGACGTCTCCTATTGTGTGGTTGTATATTTTTGGCATTTGTCATTTTTTGTCATTCCAGCTTTTTCTGTTTCCTCCTGCCCTTTTCCGCATAAATGTTCTTCTTACTTTATCTCTTCTTTTATAACACAAAGTGTAGTATGTTTTTCTCTAATAAAGATGGCGACGACTGCAAATGAACAAACGACCAGAGAAAAATTAACAGATTTACTCAGAAATAAATTTTTCCGTTTTATCTGTTTTTGTTGTTGTTGTTGTTGTTTTCTCTCTCTCTCTCTCTCTCTCTCTCTCTCTCTCTCTCTCTCTCTCTCTCTCTCTCTCTCTCTCTCTCTCTCTCTCTCTCTCTCTCTCTCTCTCTCCCTCTCTCCCTCCCTCCCTCCCTCCCTCCCTCCTCCCCCCCTCCCTCTCTCTCTCTCTCTCTCTCTCTCTCTCTCTCTCTCTCTCTCTCTCTCTCTCTCTCTCTCTCTCTCTCTCTCTCTCTCTCTCTCTTTCTTTCTCTCTCTGGATATTATTTGTCATATAAACTGATACTGGACGAAAGACCATTAACGAATTCTTAAAAGTGTGCCGTTAGAACCGTAACACGAGCATCCAAAATTTCCCTCCATGAAGCTTTATTAGGTCGGTTAGACGATCAAAAACTTTCGAGTTTACAACAGACGAGAAAAGAGGATGGGAAGAAGTTACGGGTAAACTTCTAAATATCGAGAGATTATAGGAGATACTGTATCTTTATGTTTTAGTTTTTTTTTTTTTTTTTTTTTTTTTTTTTTTGCTTCTTATCTAAGAAATAATATGTTTTTACTTCTTTTAACGAAGATGGACAGCTATGGCGAGTCCTGGCAATGAAATTTTGCGGACATTAACGCTGTACCGGACGCGTGAGACGAGATTAAGCCTTCATACTGATAAAAGCCCCGTGTGCTGAAATACCAAATGTGTATTTTGCTGTTGTTGTTGTTTGTTTTATGTGTGTGTTTTTTTCCATTGAGGGAACGTTTCTCTGTCTGTTTCATGGGGGGATGTAATAAGTTTTCTATTATGTTTATTTTTTCGACGTGGCAGAACGCTAGGATTCTTTCAATGCCACGAGGAGAAAATAGTTTGGTTATAGATTTTCCCTTAATTCTTTGACGTGATAGCCACGTTACTCAGGATCAGTCGGGATAAGCGACCAAAAGATTTACTGAAATGTGTCCTCCAAAGTGTATTAAAGCCTCTCGTCGAAATGCCTTTCTCTCTCCCACGCATATAATTAACCCCAACCATGCAGCTGCTCTCGATCACTTAAGAGACAACGGGAATATATATTCGGATTCCACTCTCGTGTCGCTGCCAGACGAATTGTGGGAAATGCCTTTTCTAGCAGCGAATTAACTGCTCGGTTCAATGACCCTAATAATAATCCTTCACGAAAGTCCCATTTTGAGTAATAAATCTGATTAAAACGTATCCACCGTTTCCAAATACGGAAAAAAAGATCGTTGCTTAACATTCAATTATCCTAATAAGAGTCCTTCACACGAGTCCAATTGTGATAAATACTAAATCCGAATAAACTGTACTTTCCACTTCAAAATACGGAGAAGGACCGTGAACTTAAAATTTGAAAGGCACGTACCCTCCTCCAGGCTTCCCCCATATTCCCTAGGCTCGTTTCCCCTTCATTATTCTCGGCTCACCTTGGTGCAATTTCCATAATTTGCTCCTCATTGTGCATGCGTGTCTCCTTTAATTACATACAAGAGGGTTGTTCCGTGTGTTTCATAGAATACTTTAAGTGCGTAGTTATCAAGCCCCGCCGTTTTAATAATTCCCTTTTCGTTAGAAAGAGAGAAAGGAGAATGTGACGTGAATCGTTTAATGTTGGACTTCTATCTTTTTTCTTCCTTTTTATTTTGCCGCCTGGGAATAAGCTTCTCGCCGTTCTCTGCAATAAATCTCTCAAGTTGAATTGCATTAGATTTGGAACCACACCCACTCCGCGCTCTTGGAAAGACGTGGTTTCTTATCTTTGCTTTATAGTGTCTCTCTTTCGTTCTCTTTTTCCTTTCTCTCTCTCTCTCTCTCTCTCTCTCTCTCTCTCTCTCTCTCTCTCTCTCTCTCTCTCTCTCTCTCTCTCTCTCCCTCTCTCTCTCTCTCCTCTCTCTCTCTCTCTCTCTCCTTCTTTCTCTCACTCTCTCTCTCTCTCTCTCTCTCTCTCTCTCTCTCTCTCTCTCTCTCTCTCTCTTTCTCTCTCTCTTCCTCCCTCCCTCTCTCTTTCTCTCCCTTCTCTCTCTCTCCCTCTCCTCCCTCTCCCTCCCTCTCCCTCCCTCTCCCTCCCTCTCCCTCCCTCTCCCTCCCTCTCCCTCCCTCTCCCTCCCTCCCTCCCTCCCTCCCTCTCCCTCCCTCCCTCCCTCCCTCTCTCTTCCTCCCTCCCTCCCTCCCTCTCTTCCTCTCTTCCCTCTCCACATCCACACCAAGGTCTCGCGTCGTTAATTTAACACAGGAGGGAGCGTCTCTCCCTGGTACCTACATAAGCAGGGCGTGGGTGACGGTTTTCCTAAGGGCTAATGAGGCAGCAGAAGGTTTGCGTCTCCGGGTGTCGGGGGATGTTTATGTATGATTTTATCTTTTCTTTTCTTTTTCTTTTTTTTTGGGGGGGGAGTGGCGGGGGGAGAGCGAATGTTTTTTTTTTGTTTGTGGGGGGGGGGGGGGGGGATTAGTATTCTCTTGTTTCTGTTGTTTGCCGGTTCGTGTTTTGTGTCTCTATGTAGGTAGGTGAATAGATGTAGAGAATGATTAACATATCGATAGTATAGTTGTAATGAAGATACTTTTTTCACTTATAAATAGATAAAATATTTAGATCGATAGTGTAGCTTTAACCAAAAAACATATGTATGTATAAACAAGCAGATACCTAAAATAGATAAACATATATATATATATATATATATATATATATATATATATATATATATATATATATATACATCATGCACGTCTAGATATTTAGACAGACTGATAGTGCAGTTGTAATCAAACCGAAATTTTAAGATTAAAATGGAAGGCAACAGAAGTAAAGACTGTCATCAAGAAAGAATCAGGATACAAACAGAAGTCGGCCTTTCCCAAGAGACAGAAGCTCTCATTGAACAGCTCTCGAGACCCCAGTTGGATTTTCCTACTTCGTCTTACTGCTTTAAGTAATGTTAAGTATGATATATATTACTCATAGCCTCCTGTCTCGTCTCTCTTTTGGGCCTCGATTTTCGTCGACATTAGTTTTAATATGTGTGTTTTTTTTTAAGGTTGGTGTGTTATTTTGTGATAAAATCGTCGTCAGATTATCGTTTGTGTTTAAATGACTGTTAGTGTTGGTATTTTTAAGTATGGGATTTATGTTACTGATAACTTCACCATCAATCTGTCACCTTGATTTGTATGAACGTGTTAAGGTATTTTAAAGGTGACATCACAATAACCTCCCCCTACCTTTTTTTTAATCTTCGTCGCCCAATCAACTTTGTTTTATTAGGTTGAAGTTGTTGTTTTTTCAAGGTTGATGGAATGAAACTGCCACATAAAGAGAGGAGGAAATGGGGATGTTTGGAACTCAACTAGACTCATCAGATAATGAGAAAAGAAAATAACTTGTTTTGTCACCTGATGAGGAAAGTTGTTTTCCGAAACGTCACAATTCGTTATTATTCTATTGTTATTATTATTATTATTCGTGAAAGAAAATGGATAAACAGGCAACTCAACAACTGCTTAATACCGTAAAATATTAGTTTAAAAAAACATATCAAGAATCGAATACATGAATTTTATAATAAAGTAGAATGCATAATACGTAAACCATTATTTTCCAGAATTTAATTGAAAAAAAAGAAAAACGTGTACCCGTGTGTTTATAAGGGATTGTGATCAACTAATGACGTTATTTCATGTATTTGATGCATTATTCTGTAAGAGCACACTGTCATAATGTCATTAAAATGCTTTAAACTTGATTATTCTTTTTAGTTGAGGAAAGGAAAAGGAGGAGAAGGAAGGAAGGGAGAGAAGGAGAAGGAGGGAAGGGAGAGAAGGAGAGAGAAGAAGAGAGAGAGAGAGAATGAGAGAGAATAAAGGAAAAGAATAATAGAGAGAGGGAAAAAATGAGTCGGAGAAATAAAAAAGAAATAAAGAGAGGGAGAGAGAGACAGACAGAAATACAAATAGAGAGAAAGGAGAGAGGCAGAGAAAAGGGAAGAAAATAAAGAAGCAAACCAGATCACCGTTCTGAAATCCCCAATCGCGTTTAGTCTAAGCCATAGAGTCTGTTTCTTATCACTAGGTGGCGCTGACCTCAACCGCTCTCGTCCTCTCTCCAACAAACACAC